CACCTCTCGCCCAAAACATTCGCTGGAGATGGGCACCAGCACCCCTGTTGACCCCAGTGGGGACAAAGTGTTAGAAAATGAATGTTTCCCTCTGTAGGGATTATTCAGGAATGTTTCCTTTACCCTAGCCTCTATTCCCAAGGCTTTTTTTGTATATTGTGTTAATGTTGGCTCTACAATTCCTTTTAACTTGATCTGGTATGTAGTGATAAATGAGGCTTAACATTGAGCCTGTTTGGGAAGTTATCTTTGTTTCAGTCTGCTCTACAATAGTTTAATGTCCAGTTCAGTGGATTGTTTTAGCTGCTCAACCTGTTGCTATAGCTGATCTCTTAGTTTTATTCAAAAGACATGCATGTACTGATTACTTTATTTTTTCTTTACTTCCTCAATTAGTCAGCTCAGCCACTCCTATGATTACATGCTGCTACATAAGCAGCTAATCAGCAAATTACTCAGAGCACAGAGGAGTGAGAAGTGTGGGTGTGTGCACATATGCATGCATGTGTAAGAGAGCAAGGTCTCCTTCATATGTGCAGTTTCCCCACACACTATGAAGTGTATTTGGGCTGCATTTCAAGTTATGGACTGTTTTACATTAACTTCAGTTAATTTTGTTTGGTTTAGGGATGAAACCACTATTTGTGTTGAATTAGTTTAACTTATACATTTTTAACTTCAAGGAACTTTTGGCTTTGACTTTATTCAAAAAATTGAGCTTCACCAGGGACAGATCAAATGGGTGCTATGGTGGGGCTGGGCTAGAACACAACCTACTTAAGGAGTCCTTTGTCAGGATCCAGGGTTGTTAGGTTCTCGCTGTAGGGGTTTTGGGTGCATGCACCACCTTTGTTTCCTCACCAGATGGCACCATCAGTTTGACGGAGGGCGTGGATGACGTCATCTCCCACACCGGCCTCGGATTAGCTCATCAGCGACAGGTTTTGAGGAGCGGTCTACCAGTCCTTCGGCGCCTGAGTGTTGCCCAGTTTTGGTACCTCCTAGCTACCTCGAGTTTGTACTCTGTGTTTTTCTCGCTGTCTGAGCCGTCAGTGATTCCTTTGTCTACTCACCTCTCCGCAGTCTCCCCTTGGATTTCCTCGACTGGAAGACGCGCCGTTTCTCGCTCCTCGCGGATCCCGCCTACCTGTCTGCCCTCCAGCGCGCACACGCCCCACCCAAACCCCCAGAGAGACCGGACCCTGGACCCAGCAGCCACCCGCCGCTAGCTTTTCCCGGCTACTCAAGTAATCTGTCCAGTGTTATCGACACTCCACTTTCCCACAGCCTTCGAACTCACCTTTCCTGCTCTGTACTCCTAGTGAGCCGATCGCTTCCTGATCCTTCCCTTCCCGTGGACCAGACCAGTTTTCATTCCCTGCCACTGTGTTCCGTTTCCTTCTCAAATAAATTCACTATATTTTCACCCACCGTATCCTAGTGTTGTGTTCTGCATATGGGCTAGAATCAAATCCTCCCAATATGACAGAACACTCAGGCCAACCACTCAGCCCGCAGACGCAATACGGAAAACGCTGACAGAGCAGCAGTCTGTAATCCAAACACACGAGTCTGCAATACGACAACTCCACACCCTACAAACAGAAACCAACCAGCGTCTGGCAGATCTAACAACTTTCCTTCAAAACTCTCTACCGCAGATCCCGGCTCCAGCTCCTGCTCCCTCTCCCGCTCCGGCTCCGGCACCCTCAGTTCAGCCCGTGTTTTCCGACGTCCGACTGCCTGGGCCGGAGAGATTTTCAGGTGACCGGAATAAATGCAATGGTTTCCTCCTGCAATGTTCAATAATATTCAATCATTCCCGCAAAGTTTTACACACGATGGCGCTAAAATAGCTTACGTCCTGTTTCAGTTATCTGGTCAGGCCTTATTATGGGCAGAGACTCGTTTTCCTAATCCCACTGATTATGGTTGTTCCTTCGAGAGTTTCATCAAGGAGTTTAAGCTGGTTTTTAGCCTTGACTCCGACAAGGCTCATAACTCACGAGAGATATGGGACTTAAAGCAAGGCAAGCAGACGGCGGCAGACTTTGCCATAGAGTTCCGTATTAAAGCGGCTGCTACAGAGTGGAATACAGCAGCGTTAAAAGCGCATTCTACCATGCACTTAATGAGTCGCTAAAAGACGAACTAGCCACCCGGGACGAACCAGGGACTCTAGAAGAGCTAATTAACCTGGCGATCAGACTCGACAACCGTCTCCGCTCCCGAGCCAGAATCAGAGATCGACGCAGCTCACCGGAGAGAGACAATGGTGGCGCTAGCATCGCCCGGGTCGCCCTCCTCTTCGCGCTCCTCCGCACCGGAGCCCATGCAGTTAGGGGGAACGCGGCTCACACCGGAGGAGCGACAACGCCGTTTCTCTGCTCGACTCTGCATTTACTGTGGTTCCCCCGGTCATTTCCGTGCGTCGTGTCCCCTCCGTTTAAACTCCCAGGTCCGCCAGCAGAAGTGAGGAAGCTGGCGGACCACCAGAATAGTGAGAATCTTCCTCAGCTTGTACTGCCTGCCACTTTAAGATATGCGACTCAGTCTTTCTCCGTATCTGCCCTAGTTGACTCAGGTTGCGAACAAAATTGATTGGACGAGGCCTTAATCAAACAAATGGGGGTGGAAACCGTGCCGTTGGCGGTTCGGTTCAAGGTCACCGCCTTGGATGGGAAAACCTTACAATCCATAACTCACCAGACCAAACCTATCCACCTAATAATATCCGGCAATCACACTGAATTTATTTCATTTTTTGTGTTCCCCACCTCCAACTCTCCAATGGTTCTCGGTTTTCAGTGGCTTCAGCAACACAACCCTCAGATTGATTGGTCAGCTAAGCGCATCACCTCCTGGTCCGTCCGTTGCCACTCTTCTTGTCTCCATTCAGCGCTACCTCCAGGACCACCACCCGTTCAGCAGCAGGAGGTTGACCCCGTAGACCTGTCTACCATACCTACCGATTACCATGACCTTTCGGCCGTTTTCAGTAAGTCTAAGGCGCTCTCTTTACCACCGCACCGTCCCTACGATTGCTCCATCGATCTGTTCCCCGGAGCTCCTTTGCCGTCCAGTCGCCTTTACAACATTTCCCGTCCGGAGAGAGAGGCCATGGAAAGATATATTAAAGAATTCTTGGCTGCTGGAATAATTCGCCCGTCTTCATCACCCTTAGGAGCGGGTTTTTCTTTGTTGGAAAGAGGGACGGGTCCCTTAGGCCCTGTATTGATTACCGAGGCTTAAACATCACTGTGAAAAACAAATACCCGTTGCCCTTACTATCATCAGCGTTCGAAACCGTTCATGAGGCCACCATCTTTTCTAAGTTGACTTAAGGAATGCCTACCATCTGCTTCGCATCCGTGAGGGAGATGAGTGGAAGACTGCTTTCAAAACGCCTATTGGCATTGAATATCTAGTGATGCCATTCGGACTGTCTAACGCCCCCGCTTTTTTTCAGGCCCTGGTCAATGATGTTCTCCGAGATTTCTTGAATTGTTTTGTGTTTGTTTACCTCGATGACATTTTGATTTTTTCCAAGTCCTTAGAAGAACACAGACATCATGTCCGGCAAGTGCTGCAGCGGCTGCTCGAGAACAGATTATGTTAAGGCTGAGAAATGTGCTTTTCATCAGACCTCTGTGTCATTTCTCGGATTCATATTAGGGGGCGGACAGGTGAGGCCTACGGAGGAGAAGATCCGGGCGGTTCTGGAATGGCCGACTCCTGAGACCCGCAAGCAGTTACAGCGCTTTCTTGGTTTTGCCAACTTTTACCGGAGATTCATTCGAAATTATAGTCAGACTGCTGCACCCCTTACAGCCCTGACCTCTTCTAAGATCTCGTTTCGTTGGACCTCTGACGCAGAGGCCGCGTTTACTCGTCTGAAGCACCTCTTTGCAAATGCACCAGTTCTCATTCAGCCGGATCCAGCCAGACAATTCATTGTGGAGGTCGACGCATCAGATATGGGAGTAGGAGCAGTATTGTCTCAGATTTCACCTCTCGACAATAAAACTCACCCCTGTGCCTTTTTTTCACGTAGGTTAACTCCCCCCGAGAGAAACTACGATGTGGGGGACCGAGAGCTGCTCGCCATAAAGCTGGCCTTGGAGGAATGGAGACATTGGCTGGAGGGGGCGGAACTCCCGTGCTGGTCTGGTCCGATCACAAGAACCTTTCCTATCTGCAGTCAGCCAAAAGGTTAAATGCCCGACAGTCACGCTGGTCACTTTTCTTCTCTCGTTTCAACCTGTCCATATCCTATCCTGGTTCCCGAAATATAAAACCGGATGCCCTGTCACGTCTCTATTCTTCCGATGATTCCGACAACCTTCCTGCCCCCATTCTGCCACCCAGCTGTACCGTGGGAACTGTAACTTGGGAGATTGAGGATATCATCAAGCAAGCACAACAAAACGAACTGACACCAGACTCCTGTCCACCCAACAAAATATTTGTTCCGTCCTCCGTACGCACCCGCTTTCTTCAATGGATCCACGCCTCCAAATTTTCAGGACACCCTGGGGTGAGCCGGACTATCGCCTTAGTCAACAGAAGGTTCTGGTGGCCGTCAGTCCACAAGGATGTCCGTGAGTATGTCCTGGCCTGCACTACCTGCTCACGCAACAAGTCCTCCCATCAACCTCCGCCTGGTCTCCTCCAACTCTTCCCATTCCTAAACGCCCCTGGTCCCACATCGCCATAGACTTTGTTACTGGGTTACCTCATCTAAGGGCATGACAGCCATCCTCTCCATAGTCGACCGGTTCTCCAAGGCCTGCCATCTCGTTCCTCTTCGCAAACTTCCTTCTGCCTTCCAAACGGCTCAACTTCTAGTGAAACATGTATTCCGGCTTCAAGGCATCCCAGTGGACATACTGTCAGACAGAGGTCCACAATTCACCTCTCAGGTTTGGCGCAATTTTTGTTCAGCATTAAATGCTAAGGTTTCACTAACTTCAGGTTTTCATCCCAGTCCAATGGGCAGACTGAACGCCTCAATCAGGACCTTGAAGCCACTCTCCGCTGTTTCACATCCTCCAATCCTTCCGACTGGTTCCAGTATCTTCCTTGGGTAGAGTATGCTCACAATTATCACGTCTCATCCTCCACAGGCTTATCGCCATTCGAAGCATCCATTGGCTACCAACCACCCCTGTTGCCGTCCGATGAGGAAGACATCTCAGTCACTTCTGTCCGTCACCACATCCGTCGCTGCCACAAGGTTTGGAATTCCACCATCCACAATCTTAACCTCACCACAGAACAAATCAAGCGGCAGGCGGATCGTAAGAGGCGTCCTGCCCCTGTTTACTCACCCGGTCAACAAGTCTGGTTGTCGTCCCAGGACATCCCGCTCAAATCTGTGTCTAAGAAGCTCTCTCCCCGTTACATTGGCCCTTTTGAAATTGAAACTATAATCAACCCATCCGCTGTTCGCCTCCGTCTACCCACTTCCCTCCGCGTCCATCCCACCTTCCACGTCTCTCGGATAAAGCCCGTCCGGACCAGCCCGCTCTGCCCTCCAGCCGAACCCCTCCGCCTCCCCGTGACATTGCTGGTCATCCGCCTATTCCGTCCGCCGGATCGTGGACTCCCGTCGACGAGGTCGGGGTTGGCAATATCTTGTTGACTGGGAGGGCTACGGTCCGGAGGACCGTTCTTGGGTTCCGGGTTCATTTATATTGGACCCGTCACTTGTCTCGGATTATCGTGCGTCGCTTCCCTCCAGCTCATCTAGGCCGCCAGGTGGCGGCCATTAGGGGGAGGGTACTGTCAGGATCCAGGGTTGTTAGGTTCTCGCTGTAGGGGTTTTGGGTGCATGCACCACCTTTGTTTCCTCACCAGATGGCACCATCAGTTTGACGGAGGGCGTGGATGACGTCATCTCCCACACCGGCCTCGGATTAGCTCATCAGCGACAGGTTTTGAGGAGCGGTCTACCAGTCCTTCGGCGCCTGAGTGTTGCCCAGTTTTGGTACCTCCTAGCTACCTCGAGTTTGTACTCTGTGTTTTTCTCGCTGTCTGAGCCGTCAGTGATTCCTTTGTCTACTCACCTCCCCGCAGTCTCCCCTTGGATTTCCTCGACTGGAAGACGCGCCGTTTCTCGCTCCTCCCGGATCCCGAGCCTACCTGTCTGCCCTCCAGCGCGCACACGCCCCACCCAAACCCCAGAGAGACCGGACCCTGGACCCAGCAGCCACCCGCCGCTAGCTTTTCCCGGCTCTACTCAAATAAGATCTGTCCAGTGTTATCGACACTCCACTTTCCCACAGCCTTCGAACTCACCTTTCCTGCTCTGTACTCCTAGTGAGCCGATCGCTTCCTGATCCTTCCCTTCCCGTGGACCAGACCAGTTTTCAGTGCCACTGTGTTCCGTTTCCTTCTCAAATAAATTCACTATATTTTCACCCACCGTATCCTAGTGTTGTGTTCTGCATATGGGCTAGAATCAAATCCTCCCAATATGACATCCTTATGACCTGATGACCTTAGCTGTGTGTCTTTCTTGTCTAACTACTCTAAAATAAAGGCCACTAGAGCTAAAAAAAAAAACTTAAAAAAATCTTGAATTAGTCTACTTCTTTAATTTAAATAAACTAAGTGTATTAAATTTGTCAAGTTAAACCAACTTAATAAATTAAGTTGAATAAACTCATCAAATTACTTGTTACCAACTGAAGCAATTCAATTAAGTTGGTTCAGTTATTTTTTTCCAGTGCATCTAACGCTAGAGAAGCACTCTCCGTTCTGCTATAGTGTGTCAGCAGCTGCAGTGTGACCTCCGCTGGTGCAGGTGTGTGTATGTATTAGGGAGAGTTTGTGTGTGACCTTTGGCCTCTTTTTCTGGTGCTTAAGTGCTTTTATAGTTTCAAAATGGCCCATAAGACAATCCTTGTACCCTAGTGGTGTACAGCCCAGAAGGAAATATAAACAAAAACAAAGTATCGCTTTTTCTAATGATAGGAAAAGTCATAAAATTGCATTTAAAAATTGACAGGCAAAAATACAATATGATGGAATTTTTCTGGAGCCATCAGTCAAAATGACAGACAACAAAAAGTACAGCATGACCTCTGCTTCAAGCTACATGTTTTAATATCACCTGAATATAAAAGGTCATTTTTTGAGAGTTACTCCCTTATTTCATTTCAGCTACAATCATCTTAACTGAATGAAAAATAATATTAAAACTAAATTTTCCATGGGTGTGAATAATTTTCACCTAGATGTTTGGCATTTATTAGATATCAAGTATCAATGTCTTAAATGAAGTTGGGTAAATTGCGTCAACCATGAATAGTTTTCTGGTTTTGTTAGTGTGGTGAGCATTTCACCACACTAACAAAAAGAGGTTGGTTTTGCTACATTCTATTGATGCCTGACAGACAGTAGTAGTGAGTAGACATTGTATTTGCAAACTAAACTGCATTAGAGGTTCAAATTAAATGTTACAGCAGTGAAAGGTGGGGGACATAAATATGAACACCCTCTCTTTGTAGTTGTATTTAAAAGTGCATGTATGAAAAGTATGATTCTCCAGTTATTGGGATTTTACCACACTCCAAATGACAGATATGACTGATTAGTTAACTAGGAAGCATCAGTAATCTGCTTGCTAATCAAATGTGACCTTTTAGAAGAAGCTTAATGAATTAACAGGTTCAATACCAGCTTTTGATTTTATCAAAAGCTGGTATTAGATCGACTTGTCCTACTGCATCTGAACATGTGATAATATTTTGACGTGTTGTGTTGATATAAATCATGGAAAACAGAAGCCAATTCTGACTATCAAACCTGGTCAGACAGGGCAAACATGTAGAGACGGAATCAGAACCAGCAGAAAGATAAATCGATGCAAAACATAGGAGCAAACTGTATGTAAGGAATTACCTCCATCTTTACCCAGATGCCTTCGTTCTGTTCCTGGATGTCCTCCAGCAGTTTTTTCATCAGAGAAGCACATCCACGGCCATCCACCAAGGGCGCTGTCAGCTGGAGGGAACCATCCACAGACCTCCTGCTCTGCTCCTCTCCTGACAGCAGGTCACTCAAAGGCCTTGATTCTATGCTGTCTTCAAATGATGGAGCAACATCACTGGAGGAGGAGCTGAAGCAGCTCACTGAGGTTTGTCTGTGAGGATGCTGATGAAGAGTCCACAGGAACATGTCACTTCACCAGGAAATGATTTGCTTTTTGATACTTAACACAAAATATGTTGTCATACCAGTGACAGCAGGGGAGATGGACCGTAATCCCCACTCCCCACTATGTTTCTTGTGTTGACTCCACTTTCTCCAGCGTCCCAGTCTACATTAAGCTCTGACAGCTCCCAGTCATCCACATCCTGCAGACCTCTCTGCTTCTGCTGTGAACAGGTTAAACAAAAACATCAGCAACCAATTTCAACACATTGTGTATGTTATGGTGAATGAGCCCACAGTTCTGTACTGACCAGGGTGCTGGACTGTATCAGACTTTCTAGTTTCACAGCCAGCATCTCAGTTTCATGGAGCTGAGCAGGGAGAGCCAGGAACTCGTCTGACCCATACCAGTGCTCTCTGGACTGGATCCTTTCTGATGTAACCTGGGATCCCTTCTGCACAAGAAAAGAGCATCGGCATTTCATTGTCTTTCTTCACCTGTACAGTAATTCACTCCTTGAAATGACCAGTCAAAAAAGAAAAAGTACAGTAAGACTTTATTTGATAAGATTGACTTCATCATAAAGATGAAGTTTTCATGAATGTTTATGACTGTTTTCATGAAGTGTCATTTGGTAAATAATGACACTTTTAATGCAAAGTTGACCACTTTGATGGACTTTCAATATAAGTTTTAATTCAACTTTGCTTGAAAAGTGTAATTCACTGATTGCAAAGTTGCAGTAAAAGTACATGGTTTTAATGCATTTTTGTTCCAAATTTGCTTCAAAAATTTCACCATTTACCAATTGACACTTCAAGACAACAGTCATAAACATTCATGAAAAGTCCATCTTCATGACATGTGCTATGTAATGTTTATGACAGTGTCATGTCAGTCTTATGTCAAATAAAGTGTCACCAAAAGGACTTATAATCATACAGACCCCCCTAGAGAACAAGGGCAATTATTTTTTCTTTTGCGTCCCCTCGCAAAAGTTTTGCGAAGGGACGCAAAAGGAAAAAAAAAATTCCCCATATCCCCTCGGGGGCTCCGAATAATCAAGTACTTAGTAATGAACATGGTAATCTCTGTGTGTTCATTTAAACACCAACAACCTTTTTTTCTTTATGTATTTTTCAAAAAATATTTACAGAACTATTCAGCACATATTTTATTGGTTTTGAACATGCAATGAGAAAATGCCACAAATCATTCAAGAAAGAAATGCTCATATGAAGAACAGATGATGCAAACAAAAGCTAATCTGTTGACTTTATTCATTAAGAAGTATTAGTATGAGTGTTTGCCACACAATTTACTTGAATGCGAAGAGAAAAATTTACTTGAACATGAAATGGTGTCAAAAGGTGCATGCCTTTTGTACATTAAAGAAATTTACCATTTTAAAGCTGCTTTGAAAAAAAACTCCACAAGTAAAAACTATAAATAGTTTTATAAGCAACATAAAATTGTTTTTATGGTGCTTTTTTACTGATTCTTTTCTGATGCTATTCAGTAAAAACTAAATAGTATCTGCAAAATGCTGGATCCTGCAAATAGTCACCTTGTGCCCCTGCCGGTTCACTGTCCACCCTGCATTCCTGCTTCCACCCCACTGAGCATCAAATTCCTCTCCAGATGCCTCCAAGTCTGAGGACAGAAGCTGCTCTGAAATGGGGGAGGACAGGGAGGAGTACGAGTCACCCATAGTGACTGTGCATGTCTTCTCCTGCATCCTTTCTGTTTGGGTGGATATTTCATCCAAAGACATCAGGCGGCAGACGGGTAGGCTGCCATTGGTGCCAGAATTTCCCTCGGGTTTTCTATGTGTTGAGCTCACATGGTGGTTTTTGAGGTTGTGCTCAATTGTTCTCTGTAATAAAAATCTTCAGTTAGAGATGACAACTTTTGCTTAACATACTTTTAAAAGTGGAAGCATTGTTTTCAAAAAGAAATTTTCCAAAGCCCCGCTGGCAAGAGAAATGCCTGCAATGGATTTGATTCATTGTTTCTATTTTCACATTGAAAATAAAATATGATGTTGCTCATCAAAGTTAGAAAGTTGACCAAAATTTAACAGTAGAAAAAGAAAGTTGCTATTGTCTGTGCTATTGGAAATACATGTATTTGTTCTCTATTTTGAAATGTCCAAAGAACCATAATCTGTCCACCAAGACAAGAAACCTGGGTTTGTTAATCATGATAAATGGAATTGTGTCAGAACAAAACTTTCCAGCTATTAGGACATTTTTTTTTTGTCTTGGTCATTCATAAAATGCTTAATTTTAAATGTGGTCAATCACAAAACACAAAACACCTATCTATGATAATGATTAGCTTGATTTCTGCTCAAATACAACCCCTGCGAAAAAGTCCAATAACTACCCTACAAAGATGTTAATTTATTTCAAAACTAATTAATGAAACTGTTAAAAGCTCACTAGGAAATTAAAAAGTGTAGAACTTATTTATGAAAGGAAATAATTTAAATCCATGTGTTGATTAATAGATCTCTTTGATTATAAATGCAATATTCAACCAAGCCCTGTTCTGGACCAAAACATCATCGGAAGAAAACACTTTGATTTCAGTAAATTAAAAATTTGAACCATTACAATAGATTGGATTGGTTATGTGGCCTAGTGTCAGTCACAGATGGATTATATATGTAAAGCCTTTCAATCTCTCCAATCCAATCTTTTCACCATCATGAGTAAAACCAATGAGCTGTCCAAAGAGGTCAGAGACAAGATATTTGGTCTGGACGCAGTTGGAATGTCTGCTACAGTCAGCAACAAGCTTGGCGAGAGTGACTGAGATTATAATCACACACTCCAAATATAAACCAGTTAGTGACCGATCAGGAGCTCCATGCAAGATGGATGTAATGGGCTAAAACTGATGATCAAAATAAGAGAAACATGTAGATAATCTAAAAGCAACTGAGATTACATTTAACATAACACTGGTAGAACATGTCATTGAGAAGCTGCAGAGCACATCTGTGCAGGCCTGTGTTAAGTTTGTAAGTCAACAGCTAGAAAAAAATAAGACAACTTGGGAGCCATCAGCTTATGATAGGATGACATCATAGTCAGGCTTCTGGGTGTCACCCCAACTTGACGTGTTTGGAGATAGAGAAACGATAAGGTAGGATTGTTCCTGTCATTTCATGTTCCTCTATCATAAAACACTTGCAAAGATGCAAGTGTTTATAAACTTGCAAAGATGAATCCCATGAGTTATCTATCACTGAGAAATCATCAAAAAGTGGAAGCAATAGTCCACTTGCAGGGATATCCCATTCAGCTGTGAACCGTTGGGGAAAGAAGCCCAGCAGTGCGGGATGATTAGAGTACATGAGACCCTTATCCATCACACCCAACGATTACAACCTCAACCAACAATGACTGATGTAGACCCATCACTGGTTAGCATTATGAATGAAATTCAAATTCATTTATGGGGCTGTGTATCTGATAAAGGAGCGTCAGATACTGGTGGCAGTCGTTACCTCCTCATTAAAAGCACAAATGAATATTAAAGAGGTCCCCCTCTATCAATTGAAAGTAGGTTTGGAAAAGAGATGTTTTAGTACATTAATGTGTTTTTCCAATTTAGCAAAGAGGATTCAAACATTTATTTTTTACAAAAGAAACATTATATCAGTGATTAGGCTAGCAGTGAAGATTTCAATCTATTTTAAAATTGTAAGTGATGAAGCTGCATCCTACAAACAGAATTAAAATGCTGGAACCTGTAACTGATTGAGGCTAATTGTTGTTTCAATTAGTGACTTTCTGAAGCCTTAAGAAATTCAGTTTGTCATAAACCCATAAAATCTTCAACATAATATTTCCTATGATTTTTCTCTGTTCATAGCTACTTATTTTTCCTCTCAACATTGAACCATGCATTTTTTTCCTCTGAACAACGAATAATTAATTGTTAATACAAATTTTGTATCAGATCTGTAATTTTTTTTATTGTTCCTAAGTAAAACAATTAATTTAGCACCATGCAGTAGTAATGTCTTTCGTCAGGGATTATGTAAGTTTGTACAGTAGCTCAATACTTTTTACAGTCATTGAAACAGATAGAATTGCCCCTCCCCCCATCCCTCTCACACCCCACACACACACACACACAAATTCAAGGCTGGAATGACAAAGTAAATAAATCTGATTCAGTCTGATTTGGATCTTCATCCTAGCTTAAAAGTCCAATTTTCATGTTAAACAAAATGCAAATGGAATAAGAACAAAATCAAAAAATGAATAGAAATTAGCTCAAACCTGAAGACTCTCGCTGGATTGTGGAAGGTTTCTCAGATCAACCGAGTCCAGTTCTAGCCAGAACTTGGATCTGTCTGGAGGATCCACAAGAGAGGAGGTGCTCTGACTCAGCTCAGCCTTATGCTGCAGCTCAGCCTCATGCTGCAGCTCAGACTGCTGCCTTGACTTCCTAAAACTGCTTCTTGATTTGGTTCCTTTGTTTGAGAATAAGGCTGCTCTTTTGGGAAGGGATGGCTGTGTGGGGGAAGATTCAGTGCTGTGACTTACAGCCTGTAGCGAACGTTTGGAGCTTTCACTGTATTTGGGCATGTCACTTTGATTTGTGGGTGATTCAGGTGTAGAATGGCTGTGGTTGTCTATGTCACTGGTCAGAGAGGGCTGAGGTAAACTCTTGTGCAGTTCAAGATTTGAGTTTGCGGTGTGAACTATGGACTCTGTTCCCCGGTCCTCAGGATGGTCACTGGGACTGTAGTCGCTCAGCTCAAAGGCAGTGATGCCACAGTCCAGGGAGAAGTAGTCCTGGCTGCAGCGGATTGTTAACTGACCACAGTCGTCCACCTCTGTGAGAGCATCCAGACGGGTCTGAATACAAATAATTCAATATTCAAGTTCCAGACTGTCAGTAACCAAACCAAGAGAAAGAAACTATCACAATGTTTTGATACAGATCTGATAGTGGTTCAAGGAATCCTTCCTTCAACTACATTTTAATTCCAAGTATACATGGAAATTTAACTTAATCTGAAACCAACCTGGTGCTGGTCCTGGCTGAATGCCTGCAGGATGTCAGTCTGTCGGGTGTAATTTCCGTTTGGGTCCTGCAAACCCTGCAGCAGTCGCTCTTTCAGAACCAGAACTGAGACTCTCAGCTGGTGCCACAGCAGCTGCACTGTTCTGGAAAAACACAAAAACAAGAACAGTGCTTTTAATTAAGCCTACTTAAGTATTAATCTACACCGCAGAATTTATACCTTGCCACAATCATTTCTTTGTGGAAACTCACCTAATGTCTACAATAATGTTTACAGAGTAGGACAGCAGCTTCAGGGAGAACTCAGTCTCCAGTAAAGCATGAATCTGCTCCACATGGTCGGAAATGTCCTCACAGATGTCCTAAAGTCATAAACATACATTCAAAAGTCAGCAGAATGTTACAAAGCAAATATACCCTCATCAGCCCCAACACACTGTGTGTGCAAGTGTGTAATAGAAAAACATCTGCAGATCCACTGAAAAAGCAGAAGACGTGGGAAGGACGTTTGACACCAAGCATCCACTTTTAACAATGAGTCAGTTTCATGTGGCTCCACATGAAGTGCAGACACCAAGAACATTACAGTTTTTCTTTGGTACATTTTTCAAATCAGAAATTAGCAAAATGCAACTGCTTTTGCACATCATCCAAGTGAATAGTACAATTCCCTTTTGTTTCCTACATTATGAATTGCTTATGTCACGATCAAAATATACCATATGAGTCTCCACCCACACATGCAAAATGCCTGAACAAGTTGTCAAAATATGTCATATATCTATAAATTTCAAAATGGAAGAAGAGTCAGAAAAGGTTGAGAACATAATGCTAGTTTCTATCATACCAACTTGATCTGCTGTGGTTTGTGACACACAGCAGGGTTCTGATGGAGTTCCTCTCACCCTGCTCCTCATTCTTTAACTCCACTGAGGATTTTTTCCTCAACATTGAGATGGACAGTATATGACCACATACACAGATGGCTGCTGTGGAGGGTGCGTGTGATGGCTGCCAGTGGCTGTCTAAAGAGGCTGGATAAGACTAAAAGTTTCTTTCCGCACTGAATTGAGGGAGAAGGTATTCGTAGGGGTATTGATAAGAACTTGTGACCCAACAAGTGGGACAGTCAGGAGGTGTAGGAAGAGGAAGTGCTGTAGAAATAATGACTGGTTTTTAACCTGCCAGTTGCAGAAGTTAAAAATGTAGTCAAGACCCAGACATAATGCTACAGCTGCTGCAGCTGTTAAGGCGTGGCATTCAAATTTGAAGCACTTACCCAACCACTAACAGGGTCACCACAGGATTAAGCATGTTTCTGTAAGCTCAAATATATTAGATTTCACCACCCCCATTTATGATGTATGAATGTTAAGAGGAAATTCAGAGGATCTTTGACTTTGTTGCTAGAAGCTTGTAATGGGCCATCATACTGAATAGTATGTTTTTGGACCCTCAAAGACGCTTTACAATAAAATCACACACACATTCCCATTCACACACACATTCACACACTGATCAAGCTACTGGACAGTAGCCAGAGCTGCCCTGAGACAGTCTGCCATGCAGATGATATCTTGCATTAGTGGAAACTTCTGGAGATTTGTGAAAGTGCACAACACACGTCAACAATAACCAGAAATGCAATATTAAATTATCATACCAGCAGATTTTCTTTGTGGCCAAAGTTTAAAACAAGTGTTGGATTCTGATGTGGTGCAGAATAAGCTGCATTAATAACACATGATTATACAGCATAAGTATTATTGCAAGATTTTCCTGTTATGTAGCAGCCTAACTCAGAATGGCAGATAAAGTATTTTTTCTTGATTTTTAATAGCAAAAACCAATTTGCTCCTGAACCAGTTAGGGAACCAGAATGAATTACCATGGAAACAGGCCTAGGTAAAAAGTAACCTACAGGTGAACTGAGCTCAGTAAACCACTAATCCTGCTTAGAGTGCAGCTCCCACATCTCCCCAGTTTTTACGCACAGCAGTAATCAGGCTCACTACTGGCTTGTAGTTTTTAAGTTTTTGCTTTTTTCCACAGGGGAAACCTCTGCCTTGTGAATAGCTCCCAAACATACTAACCTCCACCAGGACGAAGATCCTCTCAACCTCCAGACTGCGTCCCTGGATCACATCCCCTGCCTGCCTGACCACCTCTATTCTCTCTGGAAATTAAACAAGGCAACACTGCACCATCACCATACTGCTCTCTGCTGACTTCAGCCAAAGTCAGATTACATACCCTCACCAATCCCTCTCCTCCTCTTGCTGCCTCTCTTATAACTTCTCTCTTTACCATATAAGCATATTAAAATGCTCTTTTTTGTGTTAATTGCTGCAATATCTGAAAACATAACAGGATGGAAGTAAGAAACATTCCTATTTGTAAAAAAATATATATATATACATTTTGTTCCACTCAAACTTTGCTGTGTGCAGTTCTAAAACTGGCTCATTTTTCTATTGTGCCGCCTTGGAAAAAGCAGGTGACCTGGCACTGAACCCCTGGGTGATCCTCTGCTTCTATCTTTGGCTGCTGTTTGCATGTTGCTCCATGGTGACCTCCCTGAACAAGATAACACTTCTTGTTCTGTCACTTCCTGAATTATAACTGGCACCTAGCCAGTCAAAATGTAGGTCAGATACTCTGCCAGTCTGTCTCATGCTATGTTGGCTAACACTCTGACCTACTAAGAACTGTCCTGTGCACATTACTGTACTCTACACTATGCACTACAGCAGGAAATCCATGTATTTGAGAGCTGGTGTCCTGTAGTTTTTAGATGTCTCTGCTTCAACACACCTACGGCAAAAATGAGGGTATTAGCAGGAATCTGGAGAACTGGACTGCATACTGAGGAGCATTTGGCCATTTGATTCAGATGGGTTGAACCAGGATCACCAGCCCTCAAGGCCCAGACTTGATGTAGGGGTAAATGAGATAGTTACATGGACTGTTCTCTGGTTTTTATACTACTTCACTACTGAGATTTAAAACTGAATTAAGATTAAGTCTACACTCAATAGTAGATTGAATGTGAATATATTGAATCTATATTCAGATTTCAGATGTTGACTGACACTGACATATGTTTGCCAGATTTAGATTTGGTGAGGAAAGTTGAGCAGTGTGTGGTCCAACCTTTAGACATGCATTCCCTTTACCAGCATTTACAGAGGTCAGAGAGCAAATGAGTTATAATTAATGTTATATTTGAAGGTCCTGGCACATTTCAGCTCTAAACATTTCCACTTTCAATTCATCATGTATGTATTTATGTGCAGAAACCTGCTGCAAATGTGGTTTAATTTGTAATTTAGCAATATGTCGATGTTTTTCTAAGCTCTAAGTAAATGAAATTTAAAACTGATAGAAAGGGATCTCAAAAGGGAGAGAGAGAAAAAGTCAAGACTGGTCATCAATTAAAGTTCTGTCTCCCCTCTTCTTTTGACCTTCTCAGAATCAAAGTTAGTTATTGACCAAGTAACCAGAAGAAATACTGAACTGCAAATGGGCTACATTTAAATTCATGTGTGTCCCTAACTCCCCTGTGCATGCTTACACTCTTAAAACTTCACATGCACAAATTTTGCCGGCCGGTTTGGCTTGAGGAGAACAAATGATTGTCAGCTCATGGGAAAAGCACCATCAAAAATTAATAAAAAATGATCAATGGAGCCTCCTGTCTGCCGAGCGTTTGAACCAGCAAAAGGCAAAAGCTTGTCATTGTGTAAGTCAAGAAATCCTATTGGGTGCACATACTAGCTAAATGATGACTAGATAAACCAGTGGTTCCCAAAGTGTGTAGGAAAACAAATAAAATGCAATTCTCAGAGTAAATAGAAATAATAGGTATATAACACAATGAGGAGGATTTAAGCAGGAGCAAGGAAAAGAAAGAATGTCCATGGCATGATACATACATACCATTAATACAAAATCTCAGTAGGGTTGCACTGTTCTCTAATGCACTATTATAACACATCAGACACTCAAATTTATCAGAGACTCTGGTTAGCAGAGTACACACACCCACACACACAGTTTCGACATCAAAGCACTATCATGTCAGTCTAAAACTGGTGAAAATGTCTGTGGGGTCTTTCAGATGTTTGAATAATTTACACAAACTTTTAAATACTAATAAGGACACACACACATACAAACACACGCACACACATATAGAGCATTCAACAGACAACCTGTCAAACTGAATCAACACAAATCATCAATAAAGTCCATCATCCAATCTGAAGTCATTTAATACTTAGATCTTTGGTCCAAGCACACAGCTTGGACCAAAATTTTCATTTTAAGCATGCACATACAGAGCTACGGGGTAAATTAACGTGTTGATCTAATCTCGGTGTATATTTCAAGTCTTTGGGATAAACAGATATTCCAGCACATTGTTCTGATTCTAATTTTCTCTTAAATCGCATCATGAAACTCAAATTTTCTAAAATAGTTTCAGCTTCTCTGTTTCACCTACCACATTACTATTATTGTTTGTTCATCTCTTCTTTCCCCAAAAAATATTGAGCACAAGAACTGATCAACTGATGCTATGAACTCTGCAAACTCTTTTCTAGGCTAAAAGAGTTTGCAGTTGTCATTGTGTAAGTCAAGAAATCCTGTTGGGTGCACATACTAGCTAAATGATAACTAGATAAACCAGTGGTTCCCAAAGTGTGTAGGAAAACAAATAAAATGCAATTCTCAGAGTAAATAGAAATTATAGGTATAAAACACAATGAGGAGGATTTAAGCAGGAGCAAGGAAAAGAAAGAATGTCCATGGCATGATACATACATACCATTAATTAAAATTGGCAACTGCTTTCAGTTGCCAATTTTTATTGGCAACTGAAAGCAGGTTCATGGAAACCAATAACCAAATAAAGTGAGAACAATGTTAAAGAAAAAGAAAAAAAGGAAATTAACATCACTTTTTGTTGTCTGAATTAAGAACAAAATCCTGTAAACAAAATTATATCATAAGTACAAGATCTTTTGGTCAACATGTTACAGTGCTGCAGTTTTGCCTGCCTCCTTATCTCATAACTACTCTGTGTGGATCATCATGGTACATTAAAGAAAGCTAACATGATCAAACATGTTACACAGTCGCAATACACACTTAATGGAGTGATAAAAAAATTTTTTTTTTACTCTCCAGTCACGTTTATTCAAGATATGAACTGTCAATCAAAAGCTCATACATCTAGCAGCATTTCTAATTGCCCAAAATCAATCTAAAACAAGTAGACTTTTCCTTCAGGTCCAATCGCTGTTCAGCTTCATCACCACCAACATCAAGGGTTTCTTACTGGCCATGTTCAAACTGCTCA